TTATTAGGTGACACTGCTAAAGCAGGCTTAGTAAGCTTTGCTTAAAAAAAGATTTGCTTTCATTCACTATTTTTTTTTCTTGAAATTTCTGTATTCTTTTTTTCAGTATCTAAGTGTTATTTGGGAAATGAAAAAATAGTGTTTTACTGAACCGTCCTTTAAATTGGCAAAAATAATCTTGAAGTTTCTTAAAACTGTCTTAATCCATAATCGACTTGCCCATCATTCTTGTCAGTCTTTCACTTCTCTTAGCAAAATGAGCCGAACAAAAGCGTTAGCCGTGACTAGTGAATGATTTGTGCACTAGCACGGCGAGTGGCGAACATTGCAGATGCGCCACAAATTTTAGTGATACCAAGGATGTCAGAATTTGAATTTCTAAAACTGCGACAATCCCCCGCCACTGGCCCGATTGTAAGCAACTCTCAAAAGAGAAAGCCATCGACAGTTTTGACGATGGGTGGTTGCAGTTATAATTGCTAACACTTTGAGCGACCTACCGGGTGCGTCCGCCTCTCAAAGCGAACAGGTATGAAAGACACTTAATTTTTGAAAATTACGGTACTAAATCGGTTGTATAAAGCGAGGAAAAAGGTTTTTATTCCTTTCTAATCGCACATATTAAGGCCAGGATTGCATACAGAATTAGTGCAGATTTCATACTAGTAATTTTTTTGAGGCGGCATAACTGTTCCCAATAATAATGAGAGGGTAGCATCATGACCAAGCAAACAATGATGATGATGATGATGATAATAATAATAATAACAATAATAATAATAATAATGTTGCTGTAAAAGGAACATAGTCATGCGCAATTTACATTATAAAAACTGTCCTGAGAGTTGGAGTCAAAAGCACATCCCAAAGTTAATATTGTTCTGTGGACGTCCCATTGCTCACATGCCCCAATATTACAGAATGGCCTCATGCTTCCAAAAATTTATTACAGTTGTATTATTTTGGTATTTGTGTTGTATGTAACCACCCCTTTAACGCTTAATAAACTTAAAAGTTCTCAATAATTGTGTATATTTTTTCTGTATCATTGTCCGTAGTGGCATTAGCTACGCTGGACAACGAGTCACAAGTGTTCAGTACTCAGTGTGCACCACGATGACCAGCAAATATAAGTGTTTGCGCAAACTTGCAACTCTGCCATAAAATTGCTGCTAACATATACTTTATATGTTATCAAAGTTTTTTGAAGTTCAATCGGACACTGGGCACTAAGGTCAAACAAAATTTATCCTGCTGAGATGCGCCTATTAAATCTGATTCTGCCCGTCCATCGTATACCTTTAGTAGGAACTCGCCATCCGACATATGTGCGTTAACTTCTCAAAAATCATCCGACTGGTTATCTTCGATTACGTAAACACCTACAACAGATGCATGAAACACATAATGCCAAGAATATCAAGATCGCCCAGGCTATCACTGTGGATATCTCATGTTAGATGTATTATTGGGGGAGGGGAGGGGGACGCCCATACATTGAGCGCAACTGTATTAGATTCTTGGATTGTATGCCTCCAATTACTGCTCACCACCTGTTCCATGTATATGCGCCACCTTTTTCGCCTTAGTGTTCGTTGAAATGGATAAAATACATTAATTATTTTATTTCGAATCTGCTGCACGAAAATATCGGAAGCTTTAGCAAGAAGCGTTAGCTTACACGAGTGGACGTGTCCACAACAGATTAACATAATTTTTACACAACACATTCACAATATATGGCAGTCAAATAAAATTCGAAAAAAGGCTGAAAACATGCGGTAGTAGTACCACAGCTTCCAGAAGTTCATGAAAAACTATCGATACGAATCCTTAAATTTTCCTTCTCCATTACCGTTCTAATTCTTTTCTTTTTTGGAAACGACCAGAGTAATGGTGCGCCTATCAGCAATTACCCGTGCTGTAAACCCCGGACTTTACCCATTCTCGAGAGAAACTTAAGAAACAAGCTGACGACGATTTGTGGCATTAGAATATTAGTTTAATTAGAGTTTATGTTCTTATGTCAAATTTCTTATCAAATTTGGGGACACCGGTCATTTCAGAGAGACGCTGATTATACAAATATAATCACAGTCAACAACCAGTGAAGGTTCGGTGACCAGTCCTCGCGATCCTCGGCTTCACAAACAGCAATAGCAGTAATACAAGGGCGCTAGAAGTACGGCATCCAGTATGTGGACAGACGGCTGGTAAATGTGCGTGGTCGATAACTGTTATAGTGCCGCAGACCACTGTTACCATAATAAGACCAGTACCATGGCGAGCTGCATAATGTTACTGCATTTACTACATTTGCACCACACTGAGATACCGCTTATGTCTCGTCAGTATCATAATTCGCACCTTCCTACCCCTCCCCCTGCTCCTGAACAGTGGTACTAGGTGTCGTGGAAGTCCTGCGAAAAGCAGGCGAAAGAAGTGTGTGTATGTAAAAGGGAAATGCAGCATGTATATATGGGCTCCAAAATCGAGAAAGGGCTCCGTTCACGGCACTAGGTTTCCTTCATCAACATTTAATATCCCCTTAAATACTACAGCAGATCTACATTAGCATTTGGATAAATCTTCACGCAAAGCTATGCGCAAGCGACGTTCGCTAAGTCTAGAAACTAAATATCACAAACCAAAACAAAAGACTTTGATACCTTATACAGAGCCTAGCAACCCAGACGACATGCATCAAACCCGGGCTTTTATACAATTTATCTTCCAAATGAAATGATTATCCCAGCAACTCTTGTAAGGGTCATTATTTTTGAGGGCAAAGGTCATTCTTTTTTTTTTTTTGAGAACAGAGGTTTTACAAGAAAATATTAGTGGTACCTGGCGACATGCGATCGCCAGAAGCGATAGTTATCAAGTGAGTAAGGTCGTGATGAAACGTCGTAGCTGTGTTCCGCACCAACATACGTGTAACCCGTGTAATTACGCCGTTGCGTTAGCCTGCGTGTCTCGGCAGCAAGCATTGGTGGCGTATATGTGGACGTGTTGCCGTACACACGTGTGAACGAGTATGGTCGTGATGATGCGAAATCACGAGTGTGTAAATACCTGCAAAAACGGCTTTTTGGCAGCTCACTCAATCTGAAGCACAATATTTTGAGGCAAAGCAGTGAATTGCGTAAACGGGTGACTGCTTTAATCCAGAAATACCCATAAGTTAATGGGCAAAAGAGAATGCTTATCTCCTGAAGAGACTTTAGCCCAGACGGTCAAGGACAAAAAGCAGTACTAAGCATTTCACGAACTAATCACAGCAGAATCATTGTGCTTAACAACAATCACCACGTTTTCGGCAAAAAATTTTCCGGTAACGATGCCGCATTGATCAAAGCAACTGGAAAGCTGCTAGAGGTGCAGGCAGAAAACTGCAGCTGATCAAAATCTGAGTACAACGTTTTTTACTGGGTAAATTTAAAAAAATGCACTCAGAACACGCACGCACACACACATACATACACATACACACAGATAAGGTCTCGACAATATAGGTTTTGTGCGAATGTTGCAGCACAAAATGCATAACAATGATTGATAACGCCTAATATAACAGTGCTGAAAATGGCGTTTAAAGGTTTTGAATTACTTTAGTTTAAAAGGTTCTGGAAACTGATACGAGATTACACACTAAGGAAGAGAATGATTGTGCTTTTCGATGAGAACAACGATTAAGCACCATTCTTTTCATAGGTGGTGGATAAAAAACTAAGACTGGGCTTGATGCACAGAAGCTGGAAATGACAAAAATTTGCACATTTGCAGGGCTTGTTTTGACAAGGATCTCAATTTTCTGGCAACGAGAAAAAACAAGACTTCAAGCATCAGAGTGCACCACCTCA